AAAGTTTGTAACGAGCATGCAATATAAAAATTCAAATCACATGATCTAATATTGTGTAACTTTCATATACATTTTCAGTTTGACCACAAAGACCAATATAATCATGATAGTCGAATTCTATTGCAGTGCGAATGAAATTTCATATTTTATACGATGCGTCCAATACATACATACATAGAAGTTTTCTATGGTAAGTGTTCAAATGGTTTCGTGCGGCAATACATGTAAAAGAGTTGATTAGTAAATAAAAGCTTAGGAATGTATCAACGGATGAGAGCATAGTAGTTCCGGTATCGTTAGTAATTGGAGATGGTTGAATTGGATGAATCAGTGGCGTATAGGGTGCGTCTTAAAGCCTTGCCGAGTTCTGAAACTCCTGTGAAACATCGCTTTCAGTTGAATGCGTCTTTCATTTGGCCAGTTGCATCGTGCGCAGCGGCCATTACGCTCGCGATATTTTATCAGTGGTCGCAAATAGCCATGGTCGAATCGTAATACCAATGCCATCAACGGTTCAAAGAGCTTGCCCCTGGCGTAGGTTAGTCGAAATTTACACCTTGCTGGTTAGAAGAGCTTTATGCCGCTCGATTTCGACGAGGATTTACCCTTATGCTTCCGTATTCGCATGGAACCATCGACTTTCGAATCTCAAACGTCATACTCGCCTTTATGGCGTTATTAACGTATTCTCGTATGATTATAAGATGGACTATGCGATTAATAAAAGTTATGTGATTTGAGCCGTGAGTATAACACGAAATTTTGCAATGATGGTTGAATGTTTATTATTAAATAATGATTGAACAAACATCATCGTTAAAGGGATTCTATCGAACTGTGAAGAATCTCGAACTTGCATCCTCGTTGCTTTACCACGTGAGTAAGATTCACGGAAATTCTGTTCCTGATAGTTGGTGAAATGCTGACCAATGAAGACTTGACTAATTTCTGAATTATTAATAATATCGAGGAATAATTACTGCTTGCAGCGATTTCTTCGCGAGTTTATGATGCACCAACTGCTATTGAAGTATAGAAAGAAACTTCTAAGTCTCCACAAAGTCCAGAAAATTAGAAATTCTCCTGGTTATACACGAAATTAAAACGAAATATAGTAAAATCGCCACTAGAATATCTGAACAAAATGGGGAAACCACGTCCGCGTCATAAACCCAGTTTTAAAACTAACTATTGTTGACGCCTTAACAGGTTTTCTATTGCGGCTTTGAATACGATCCTTTTTCACTTTCGTTTAAATAACACGGAATAACTATTCGGCTGCGGGCGAACAGTTTAGAAAAATACAACGCTCAATCGTAAACCGAGATTTATTGTATCATAAGTATTGGATCCGCGGTCGATTCGTAACTATAAATTAATCCGGATGCCGCAATTTTACATCAAACGGTATCTGTGTCAGGTGGTTCTACAATGTTTGGCCGAATTTTATCGACGATTTCTGCTGGTATTGATAAACAAGTGTCTCGTGAATTTGTGTCGATCAATTGTTGGATTTGGTTTGTTCATTGTGTCAATACTTGTTTGAGGTTCTTTTTTTTTTTAAAGAACGAAGTGAAACATCATATTTTTTATTCATTATATTTAAAACACTCATATTGTACTGATTTTATAAATTATAATATCATAACTGTTATAATTTTAATTCCGAAGATATAATCCATTTTTTTTTCTTTGAAAGATGTAATCGTTTGTTACCAAAAAAATAGATAACATATATAACGTACAATTTATTATGAATGAAATATTCAGATAAACGCTGGCTATTTTTAAATTTCCATATTTTATTTTATCCTTTATCAATGTATCATATTTTATCGTTTATCAATGTTTATTGTTCTACGCATCAATTTAACGATACGAAGGTTTACAATAAATGTATAAATAATCTGAAATTTAAGCACACATTTACGTTTAATAATTATACTGTGGCGGATGAAAAGAGAGTTGGCGTTTCGTCCCGGGACTACTGGTGGACTCGTCAGTAAGGCTATGCCCGGTAGTCCCTGCCTTAGACGTAGAGGGAGTCTCGCTAGGTGCGATATTTGTATCAATCGCTCGTATATTCGACTACTAGCGAGTTAGACTCGTTGTCGTCGTAGCGCTCTAGTGTTGGCGGAGGTGTTGCGCCGCGTTGATGCCTCGACCCGTCGGCGTCCTATTGATACCGATCCGCCACAATACTATTAATTACAATTATATTATTATTAAATTAATATGACTAACTGTAGAATGACTTAGTTTCATTTATAAAATGCTATCTCCATCACTGTATGTGATAAATTGTTTTCAATAATCAGTTTTAAAATATCATTTCCTGCTCTTCCTCTTGCTTAATCATTCTATAAAACTTCATCGTTTTCGGATTCTACACATCAACGTTAAATTATGCTAACATTTACGTAAGCTATTCCAAATACTAAATTCATATCTTCACCACCTTCAACCATTCATTCTCCAAGATCAAACTGATGAAATATTACTCGTGTATATGAATGATTCATTATATTAAATAATGAAGTTTTACCAATTTTGTCATACATTTCAGGATAATATTATTGTTATTAATTCAAAATACGCGTATCATGGAAAATTTCTTCTTTTTTAACGTTATTTGTACGAATCGAACATCGCACAAAATTTACGATATAGTCGGTTACTAATAACAGATTCTTCTCTCTAACAATTTCATAACATTATCATTACTAATGATTATTAACATAAAATAATATAATATAATATTAATATCAATATTAGTTCATCACGCGTGGACCATAGTGACCTCTTTCATTTTATTTCTTTAGAATTCGTACAAAATTGGACATTATTCACAAATAATTTTAAGAATTGAATATGGTACAAAAGATAAAGCGTGCAATAATGTCAAACTTCAGAAAAACGAAATTTCATACGCAGGAACGTACCTAGTAATTTCATGTCTCGAGGAAGAAACAAGGAAAGAAAAAATTCATTTGCATATTGGTACTACCTGACCATAGAGGGAATAATTTAATAGTAATTCTAGGCTGTGTAGTTTAGTGACCTCGGTTGTATGTGAACTGTCGGAGTCGACGGTGAAATAGCCGGCGATATGCTGGGAACCTAGGAATAATTCGACGATTTGGGTGATCGCGCAAAAACCATCGGAACCGGAGAATACGAATAATGCAAGGGCGTCGACATTACGGCCGATATGAGATTGTTGAGTGTGAGCCAAGAATGGTAATTCTGCAGGGGTGGCTAAGGAAAAGATTATTTTGCCGCCATCACCCGCAAACGATTAGGATAATGTGTTGTGACGAGGTTCCCATGATTCACTGCGTGTAATTTTCTTGAATTGATCTGGACAAACAAAGTCTTTCGGCTAATATTGTTTTTGTATTTCGAACCAAATGTATTGCACAAATTTGTCTTTTTTGTAATATCGGAAAATCTATTGTTGTACTTTTTGTTTTAATCCTGTCACGTTAAAGTAACGTGATTTTCGATCCAACCGTATTTTTTTTTCTTCTACCAAAAAATTTCTTAAGGTAGTGAGAAATATATTTTAAAAATATATTTCAGCATAAAGTTTTTCTTGAGATAATTTTTCCTGAATTTATAAAAATAATAGAAGCTATTATTCAAATATTTAATGGAATTCCATGAGAATGTGTCTTATCAATTTTTATTAATTCTATAAATTCTTAACAAAATCACTCTATCAGAAAAACATTTGTATTTATTAAAATGTAAGAAATGGATATGATCACAATATGTATCTATCGCTTAAACTCAATGATATATTTAAATCCAAAGTATGTAATTTTTAATAACAGCTTTATGAATGTTTTTAATTTAATAATACCTTTTAATAATAATATCTAGGAAAATATATGATTAATTACTTATATTTCATTTCCAATTGAAATTTTGGTGGAGAAATAGTTCTTTACAATAGGCAATCGTACAGTTAGAAATACTAGGTACGTTCGGACGTGTTAAATTGAACGTGACTTCTTGCACATCGTAGCTGGCAATCTTACCGCTCGTTGCTCTGTCCATCCTTCATCCGAAATCCTGGAGAGGTGAGAGCACGTTTTCACACGCTAGATCTTGACAGGCTCTGTTTTTTAAGTCCTGCAAGTCCTTCGGCTATTCCTGCGGAGGCAGTTCTGCATAAAGCATCGAGAAACAGTTGCAAGGGGAAGAAGGAACTCGACAGGAGGTTTTAAAGCCTCCTACTATATACGGTTGGTCTTTTCAAATGACATAGCTCAAGCTGCTCTTTTTCCCTGACAAAAGAAATATTGCGATTATGTCTTTTTCTTTTGCTATTTCTATGGTGTCTCAAAACCGAATGACGTTTATCAAATATATCTGAACAGACAAAAATCAGATAGAATTATGAAATATTTGTAAAGATAAATTATTTAGAAAAATATAAGATAAAGTAGAATTAATATTTAAAATGTATTCGTATTTGTTATTTTTTCTTTGCAGTGAAATTAAGAAGTTTCTTAATCAATTAAAAAATAAAGAAAATTATACAAAGCAAGTCGAGAGTTTTAAAAAATGATACATATATAAAATTTCATATTCTTTTCAGGTCCCCCAACCATAAACAAATTAAAAGAAAGTATCGTTAATTTTTTCTTTGGAAAAAAAACTCGCTGTACTGCACTAATTAAAAAAAGAAAGAGAAAGAAGAAAGAATTTAACGGAAATTATATGATGCGAATTAAGTAAAATTCCAATATTATTTAAAAATCTAAACAATCAGTAAGAACTAAGACCTCTTCCTTCAAACAAAAACTAAAGTTTTCGTCCGATTGACCAATTAAGAAACGAAATAAAAATGAAAAAGGAACGAGAATTAAGAAAGAACGCAGTTTAGAGATAAAATTCCAATCTTTCTCGCAAATGAAACGTTATTAAATAATATCTTGAGGACAACTGACTTCAAACGTTTCCAAGTTTAATTCGGTTTTGTTTCTATATAGATCTCTCTGTTTGACGTCCTATGTCCGCGACAGAAAACCGTGAAAGAAGGTAAAGATCGGTTAGAGGATGGCGAGAAAAGAATGCAGCGAGCATGAAATGCCTGGAAGAATTCGTTGAAAGGCACAAATGGAAACCTCAACCTGATACGGTGAAAGGTAACGACATTCTGGCGAGATGTACCTCGACAATGTGCCCTCGATACAATCTATAACGTGTATACGTTCGATAACAGCGATAAAAGTCGAGCACCGGCTCAAGAAAACGGTATATGGCAAGTATTCTAACCTCGAATTGTTGGGTGTACCGAAACGTATCAAGGCGATAAAAAAAACATGATTATCATTTTCATATAGGGTTACATAAAAACAATATATGTAATTACTGAATTATTTTACAGAAGATAAAAGATACAGATTTCTGCTTTATTCTTGAGTACTTCGAGGCATGACGTTATAGAAACTTTAGATATCTCTCGTAGTAATTAAATAAATAACAACTCCTTAATAAATAACAAATCCTTTTATATTATTTTCCGCCATTTCTATTTTTATGGAAATGTAAATGTAACAACTATGAAACGATAACGTAAAGGGGTAAATTTCACTTCTATTGTAATGTTTTGTAGTTTTATTATTAGCCTTCAGAATTGATATGTATGATATAGAATATATGTCTACATAAGTTTCATAGATATTAATATTGAAGTTGTTACGATTTGCATGAATTATTGGCACTAGACATTTGTTTGTTTTATACAATTATATTTATACACCTACTTAACATGAATAAATGGTAGTATTAATGTTAGTAATAAGCTAAAAGATCTGTAGACATATTCAATAAAAATTCTTTCTTTCAATAAAAAGTCTTTTTAGTCTATAACGGGATAGCTTACTCGAGCGCGAAACTTTGGATGTTTTGTCCTAAAAGAACGAAATTATATCGATCGTTGAAGATGACGGGGTATCTAGAAAATCGAGGAAATTAACGGGGAAGTACCAATTAGTCCCTTTAAGTATTGGTCCCCATTAATATCATCATGTAAGGTTAACCCGCAAAACCACGATCAGTGACCTGCGATTATATCTGTCGTGGAGGGTGCTCAAACAGATCTGGACAGAAGTTTCCGCATTACAGAGTTTCGAGTACGCTTCACAATGTATAATTACAACGTAATTATCCTTTTTGTTGCGTTAAAAGAAACGAACGAGATATAGAGGGATTTCAAACAAAAGGAACACTTCATTATTCTCGTTAGTCGTCGAACATACCGGTGCCTCCGATAATCGTAAAAAATAATATGTTGAAATGATTCGCTTAATTCTAAAGACAGCCATGAAGCAAACATACGTTGGCTCAATGGAGTATTCAGACACAAACATAGTCGAATCTCATGATACACATGATAGTATCCATAAAAGACATGCACAAATTTTCGAATACCTTCGTCAGTTTGTGCATATTTCTTTCTTTCTTCCTTTTTTTATTGTTGTTGTTGTTATAAGTATTTGTGAAATTTATTTCGCGAATAGGATCTCGTAATTTTGCATGACTTTTTCGCCGCTGCTCGATTCCGATAACTGGTTACCAGTATATCTTGCTGGAGAGTAGAAAGTAGTACACGGTCGTAAAATCTGAAAACTGTCCTGCTAAAATGTTTGCGCAAGCATTATACATCGTATCCCCAACGTCCTCTTCCATTTTATTGCGTTCAAGCATTTGTAACCTATGTAGGTGTATCCAGATATTTAGGATTTTATCGTCAGATGAAATTTCGAAAGTGCAACGAAAGTAAATGATAAAGTTCGATCTGCCTGCACGAATTATTTCACCTTTCAACTTCCTCCGCTGGAAAATTGTTAATCTCAATATCTATCGATATGTTGAACCAATTTTCCGGGATAATACAGTACTATCACACTCGTGGAACGTTTGTATCAAGCAACTTAATCCTTTTCCAACGATAAAAGCGTTCAACGTTTCGAATGAAATCAAAAGTATTTGTTCCTTCTTTTTCACATCTTGTTTATAGACGTGTCAATTTCAATCAGTCAATAGAGGTAGAAATCGTTTGAAATTTCGGAATTTGACGCGCCAACAATTCTTTTAACATGTGGTTGCTATACTCTATCGGAAACAAGGAAGTATTCGCGTTGAAGACAAAGCAATCATTAACAATTTCAGCAGCGCGTTTCAAAAGTACTCACTTTTAAATATTATTTTTCCACAGCGAAATTATCGTTTTCGAAATGCTTTCCTTGCAGAGTTCTTAGTCGAAAAAGTTCCACTTTGCATTTTATGTTTGTTTTTTAATATCGCTGTTGACATTTCACATCGAACATGCAATAGAGGTATAGATTCAAATTTTAGATTTAAAACTTTCTCTTTTAAAGTCCGGTGTGCTTCGTGATGTTGGTAAACGCAATAATTAAAGTTAGGAAAGCGACAGATTATTGAATTTGGAGATTTTTAAAATTTTAAATGAAAATATTAATATTTCAGTAGTGTATTTGTAATCGAAAAGTTGAGATAACATACGTGTTACAAGTGAAATATAAAAACATACATCTCTTAGTTAACTTTAGCATTTCATCGCTTATCATTTAAAGATATTACAGACATTTAGCGATTATCTCTTCCAGAAATCTAAGTTTAGAAGTCAAATAAATACAAAAATATATCGTTGATCGTTGAAACATCTGATTAGAAATATTTAGATTTTACTCCCTTCTCAACCTATTCTCAGTCGCGTTTCATTCGTGTCTCATAATAGGTACATAATTTCTTTGAATCCGCGCTTTTAACCCCCAAAAGAGGGAAATAAATCAGTTAACAGAAACGGACGCGGCGAAAGGAGTATAATAGTAAAAATTAGTTCCCTTCTTTAACATTAAAATCAGTTCACTTCTTTTTATTCAGCGTCGGGCCCGCTTCTCAAAGAGCGGAGAGTTGTAAGGCACGAAATCGATTCCTCGACTCGGCTCTCGGTTGGAAACCGCGTTGAATATACATGTTCACCGGTACCGGCAGCATAGCCAGCCGATCGACCTCATCCGCATTCTAATCAGCTCTTACTTCACACGGCCAGAAACAGCTTGCTGAACTTTAACTCGTTATCCTGGTCGACCGCGCAAATCCGTGGCTGGTTTGGCAGCGTCGACCATTTCATCCGAACTCGATAGAGAATGCTTTTGATGCTGCTTGCTAGTTACGAAAGAAAAAAGAAATATCCGCCGACCTACCTCTTGGTCCTGGAACATTTGCATAAACAGAACCTTAGGGGAGAATCGAGAATTTCGCGGGTGAAAACGAATAGGGACAATTTTCTCTCCGGTTTCTTCGTTAACGATGAAGTATCGCTGGTTTTGAATGGATAGATCGCGATATTTATATAGAGGAATCGATATTATGCTGGTATTTTGTTCTTCGCGGAGAAGAGAGTGAGAAGAAGGAAGAACGTCACAAAGGAACTGTTTGGTGCAATTTACTTTTCCGCTTTTAAACTGACAGTTGTTGCATCCGCTTCATTTTCCACCGGTTTTATTGATATAGCCCGAATCGCTGCAGTTTTAGTTGAAATAGCTTGCCAGTTTAGAGAATTGCTTTCGCAAAGACAACGTAATTCCGGGTTTAGATTCTAACTACTGAAATTTAATGGAATTGAAATATAGTAATGATACAGCTGGAAAGTTTGGACTTTGGAGAGAAAGAATGTTGACGAAAATCACAGCGTGATTATCCGCGAGTTATCCTTAGTGCTAATGGTAAATGGTAATTTATTCATATGGCAATAGTAATTTATTACTTATTCGTATTTTTATAAACCCACTGAAAAAAATAGAATTTAATATTGTATCTTTGCATATTACGTGCATTCTGTACATTTTGGAACATTTAAATTTCACGTAAATGCATAAACATCTACAATTTAGTAAAAATTAAAAAAGAAAATCGATACAGTGATATTACGATATTTTGTAATAGATGTGCTAATGCTGCCTTGCCCCTTAAAATATGCAGTATTTTAAGCATTGCAACATTTATCAGTGCTATGTTAGAGTAATCTTAGTTGCAATATTTCGGGGGCTTTGCTTAATTTATATCGAGTGTGACAAAGTAACAACACAAGCAGTTAGTGACTGGTAATAATATATGTTCTGAGCACGTGCAACAGATTCAACGCTAATCTACTGGATTGTTTGAAAAGTTAGAAAATAGAAAATAGAAAAAAGAATTCGCTGTATTTTTACAGAATCAACATTTCTAAATATTCTTTTCTTATAATTTCACTCTCTTCTATGTATTATTTGATAGGTAAAGAGACCTAAAAAACACATTCAAGGTATAGACATTAAGGCAAATTTTTTAAACATAATACAGTGTTATTGAGCGTCCGTTTGACTGAGTTGCCGAGATTAAGAGATGCAGTTTTTAAAATTCCTGCAAGTTAGTTCGGATACCATTCAATTAAAGTATCTAGGTCATCAATTCTTCCCCGTCAAACTTCGTAGCCAAGCTGTCACCTACAGATGATCTCAATTATGCAAAGTCTTAAAAATTTAAGGGAACGTTATTTTCTCGCCACATCTATTTATATTTGATTCTTTGTTTGTATAAATTGATCTTATTAAATCATAAACAAGGATTACAATTTGGTCAGTGTTTTAATAAAAGTTATTATTAAAAATTCTAGAAATTGTTTTATCATTTTCTTTTATATCTGTGACGATTTTGTATCGATAATTCAATCCCATACCTGCGATATTTAAACTAGTTATCTGTTTTTAGTAGCACTATCTTATTAGTAATCGATTATTTTTCAGCGAAGATAAAATCAGCCAAATTTTGTAATATTAATTAAATAATTCAATTTTTTGAGAATTTATATTTAATGTCAATACGTGCAATTAGTATTTAATTTCTTAAAAACCAAAAAATTTAGTCGATGAAGTTGATCAGTTTGATTTCTGTGTGATCAGTATCTACGATACAATATCCCAATAAAATAGATAGTAATAATAAAAGAATTCAACCAGACTTATTCCTTCGTTAGTTACATTCATCAAGTGAATTAACCAATCTATGCAAGATGTTATAATTTTTGCATTTTTTTCGAAAATCTGATAATCGCTGAACAGGATTGCCGCCTGAATATTTGTGCATCGTGATCATCGATAATATCGTCAAACTTTGTCAGTTCGACTGACGTTTGGAGTAACTACGTTACGGCACGTAATAGGCTCCGGTCGCTAATTCGACAGACTTTGATGAGTCTCTATGAAATTAGGAGCAGCTTTGAAAGCTAAGAGTAATTCCGACCGGTTGGTTCTCCGCTGATGGAGACCGACCGGCTCTCT